TTTATTGTTAACCAATTTAAACAAATCACAAAACAAACACAATCTACAGTGTTACTTGTGTACGAACTTTCAAATAAATCAGGTGGTATATTAGTGAGTAATTGGCATGGACAAAAATAAAAACAAAACTTCTTTACCAGTTTGAAACAAATTACATGCACCTATGACCACCAATGAGCCATATTTGATCAACAAAATCAGTGTGCCTATGTAAGTTATTATACATGTCTTTGTGTTAAGTTTGAATGATATTGATCAAAGCATGTCTGAGAACTCCATTGAATGATGAACTGACACATGCACAAATGAACCAAACCAAAATTATTATTGTTCCAAAGGAGATTAAAAAACTTACCTATATAAAGCATAATGATCATTTTCTGCCTGTCTTATTAACCTCTGTAATGTGTTCATATCTTGGATGGCTTTCAGTTTGTAGTTTTCAATGATTTGCCTCAGATATACAGGGTTATGGTCATCTCCATTACACAAAGCCTGTGCCCAGTCACGACAGAATATGTTACATTCTGAAATGTATTACATAGTCTTGGTTAATTACACATAATACATGTACTTAGTCCTATGAGGAATAATACAGTGACAATCTGTATCACTTCCTACCTGTGCAATCAAAGGTGACTTTATCCGGTGTTACAACTATGCTCAATTTACCCAGGGACTTTTCTTTATGTGGTTTACGAGATATTTCAACAAGGGATGTGTCTATTGGTGTATCCGGTGATAACTGCGTCTCCGATATGTCACTATGCTGAAGCAGACCAGCTAGACTACAACAATTGGAAAACCTAGAAATATACATGAACACATCAGTCAACAATATCAATAAGTGTCACAAAGTTGATAAATACTGTAACTGTAAAATCTGAGCATCTACACATATGAGAAATGGTGAATTTTGTGGTTGGTTTATTATATTGGCTGCCCCAATACTTCTGACACTTGCTGTAAAATTGTCATAAAACTTGTGCTTGACTTTTCATAAAAGTAGAATTCTTGAGTCAGCGAGATGACATCTATGGCAGCAGTTTTGGGCCATTACATTTTAGTTATGCATGCATTCATAATTTATTACAACTTTAATGTAAGGATTCATTTAGATACTTTGCCAGAAATGTCAGAATATTCAATATTTGCCAGCTAAGATCTATTCAAATTTGGCAAATCAAATTGCAACAGTAATCCTCACATCAAAATTTGCATATTCCACAAAAATAATGGGTATGGTCAAAATTTTTGGCAGGTTTTGGCCGTCTAATTTCTCTCAATCATCCACTTTCTTGAGGTCAGTTTTGTGATTTTTTGCTGATGCTGCTGCACATATGATAATGAGGTAATGCATGGTCTTACTGTCTTACATCATGCAGTATTGTTATTTATTCCCCTGCTATGCGTCTCACAATACCACAAGCTATTGAAAATAACCTGTAAATATTATGAACAGTACTGATATGTCAACTATTACTGATTACTCACTTTTCAATATCCTCCTTTAGTGACTGATTCTCCCCATGAATATCAATCTTGAAATTCATCATAGCCTGAATTTAAAAAAAAATGAAAACATTTCAATATTTGTAATTTCACATAACACAACAGCCATAATATAAGTACAACTTACTGACAGTAAATGATACATTATCAGAAACTTAGGGGGGCTTATAAAATGCAAACAAACTTTTTACTGGCTTAGGGACAAATTAAATTGAAAATACGATATGCATCATACATATACATCTCATAATACATTCATAATAAAAGTGGAATTATGTCTAACATTCTAGGTATTGTGCGGAACAGAGTGACTATTGACATGAATGATGCACATTAATAGACAGTCTTATGCGGAATGGCTATAAAAATGACATGCTCAGAAATAATGAATTGTAATCAAACAGTTTAAGCTTTGTTGTACAACATGTTGAAATGCACTACACTGCATTCAAGATTGAATTTCAGGGGCCTGATCATGGCGGAATATGACTCCCTTAGATCAAAATACTTGTTTTAACGCATGGTAATGTTCAAATTAATTTAAATAAATTAAATGTACTGCACAGGTTTGCAAATTTAAGTTAAGATGGCTACCCCATATACTAATTTTAAAATATTAGTCACATTTATTTTAATTTTAACATTGCCTTGTGACCGCCCTGTACATGTATGAGTGAACCGTGTACTTACAGCATGTATTACGTAAGCGACATTATTTTGTAGTTTTTGCACACTCCGACATAGGAACTCCATAGATGATGTATACCAATCTACAAGATAACTGTGCATTTTACTGATTTCTGTCAACTATCAGAATAAAGAAAGAAAACCATGTTTACTGTTACATTGCATTACTCCATCACAATGACTATACTGGTAGTACAAAATGATGTTAAACAGACTTACATCTGTGTCGATCAATGGCAGCAAACCATGACTGAAAATATCAAGTTCTGGTCGATATGTAAATATCGTTAAGAAAAACAATGACAACTAATATGGAGTATTAATTACTACCGGTAACTACAAGAAAAATATTGAACTGTCAGTCATCACAGGTTAGTAATACTAGTACTTTACCAATACTATTTGAATACTCCTTTCCTTACCAACTTCAGACACAGTTCAAATGAGTTATCGAACCAGAACATCTCTGAAGTGACATCTTGTTGACCAATGATTTTTTTGTAAATAATAAAGGATATAGATCCAATATAATATCTTGATTTGTGACAAAACACACTACGTATTCCCTGGATGTAACACTGGCAGCTCCTTCTGTTATCAAATTATTAGAAGCTCCCTCTATTGTTAATTTATCTTCACCAGCTTGTCGTAATAAACAATAGTAACAATATGATGAATCACCAGATAATCTAATAAACAAATGATTATTATTCAACATTATTTATTTATGGTACATCAAACAATTCCTCAGTAACATAATTCATTTTAAATTAGTTTTTTTTAAAGATGATTTGGTTTCCAAACTATTTGAGAATACGAGGTTATGATAAGTATACTGCAATGTATACATGAAGGCAGTACAGTGACCGTATTGACCTACACGTTGCACATTTTACAGTATACATGTACTTATGATAAGCTTTTAATTATACATATTTTTCCTGATTGTAGCAATAATTTAATGATGGATAATAGCCTAGAGTGGCAAATGTAACACAAAAAACGTTTTTTTTTTTTTTTTTTTGCTGTGCTAATGCGTTAAATGTGCTACAAGCACTCTTACATTTGATTTAAACCAAGGAAAGGGTCAGTGTCAATAATTTTGAATGTATCTATGTTGGTGATGTAGTTTATCCAAAATCAGGGAAAGTTGCAATGTTTGAGTGAATGCAGATACATTTTGGGAAAATAAATTTTATACAATATCAAATTCTATTTTTTGGTTCTAGATATATAATAATATACTGTAAATTTTCAATTTTTAGTTTCGTCAATATTTGAAATTCAATAACTTACACCGAGACATAATTTTGCAATAGTCACTCTTAAAGATCTCAATGAAATATTCACTACTATAAAATTTCACGGTTTTCCCCTGACCTGAAAATTTTTCTCTCACAAAAATAAAGCAATTTAGTACAGAGATACAGATAATTTTTATTGCTTTGTTTGCCTACCCTATTTCAATAGATGCTACATTACCACTTCCTCCATACACAGTTCCTTTGGACAGTCTCTTAGCTATTGCACTGCGAAGTGAGGTTTCATTTTCTGCTGGCAAGTCAGTTGCTATAACAGATATACTGAAATGACATAATGGTGAAAGAACAATCGCTATTGAAATACAGTAGATATATTTAACAACTCATGCTACCAATTGTGATTAGCTTGAATCATCATGTGAGACAATGAATTTCAGAAACTCAATCAATACCCCCATTTTTTTAAAATTAGATCAAATTATATAATTTGCAATTTGATTACGCTCCTCAAATGGCATGGCTTGGAATAATATGAATTGTTTGTAAATGTCACATATATATAAAAATTTTATTAACATTATATGAATTCAGTTCCAATTAACCCAGTCAAAATTTTCAAAAAAGTTATTAATTTTTGTATAAAAATGATAATTTGAAGGTGCCTCTGGGTACAGGTATACTTTAAAGTTGCACTCCTTCAAATTGAGTTCATACATATATATATATATATCATAATTTTATTGTAAAACAAACTCCCACATAAACCCATTCTCGTTTATCTTTATAACGAAA